AGGCAAGACACCGCTCTTCAGATACATAACATCAGTGTGTATCATAAAGGATTAAAAAGTTTAATCCTCTAGGGAATAGAATAGACATTTCAACTTCAGCAGAGCACATTTTCTGGGAATAATATAGTGTAATTATTCTCATGGCAGAGGTACACGTGCAGATTATACATATTTAATACCAATTAAATTTTAGGTCATTTGTGTTGATGATGTTTTTAAAAGGTGATAAATGGGGTTTATTATTCTCTAAAATATTCTAATCCAGGGTCTTAGATACAGTGAGGTCCTCTTCTCTAATGTACCCTGTGGCTTCTGTCACCTTGCCAGTTCCCACAAATATTAGCTCTGTGCCAACGTGCGTTTTTCAAACAGCGCATGCCGCCGCCGATACCTACGTTGACCTGAGGGATTCCAGGGAGCGCGTCCCATTTTAATAATGAAGGTGATGACGACAACATAAAAGCAGTTACCATTTACTGAGCATTTACTACATGCTGCCAAGCAAAAACTCCACTCTGTTACTTTGAATGGACTTCACAAGACCCCCACGTGGTAGCTATTGTCATTGGCCAACGAACAGAAAGGAAATTGAGGCACTGAGGCGCTGAGTATCTTGCTCAAAATCACAAGCTGGAAATGGGCAGAGAGACAAGAGTCAAATTCAGGACATTGAGCTGGCAGTCCACGGTCTGTCACTTCACAGATACTCTTCTTTGTTACGAGGGTTCGCTTAAAGAAAACATTTAAGAAATGTGTAAGTCTGTGAATACGAAAGAAAGTCATACAGGTTGTAGGCAAATGTCTGATGATCAGGTAACAGTGCTCTAACACACAGTATGCGTTCTTTTCTTTTCCTTCGGCAGGGGGAAGCTAGAGAAGAAGGATCCAAGAAGACTGTGAAGTGAATGTGAACCGGCAAATGACAGGTCAGTGTTAAGGTTCTGCGGTAGACATCCTGAGATACTGAGCTTCAACCTTCAACTTACCTGCTTTTGGCGGTGCCCAGAAAACCTCTTGTTCAGAGAGGAAATCTTCCTACTTTTACACGTTTTTAAGGCATCACACAATCACATTTCTATGGGAAATATAAATAATACAAATAACTCTGCAAAAGAAAGGGTTTGATTATTGTATATTACAATTTAAGGGAAAAAAATCAAATTTAAGAAAAAGCTGACAATCAGATCAGAAGCATTACAGGAAGTTTCTTGCGCATTTTCTCCAGAGGTTAAACCAGAAAATGTTTTAGAGAGGGCAGAAGTTTAAGGTCTAGCTGGGGAATAAAGACATGTTTTGTCTGACACTTCCCAAGTCAAATCCAACATTTATCAAATGATTCCTAAGTGCTGTATTTAAAAAAAATAGAGCCAGGAGCTGGCAACCTGGGTATATTAAGCTTTCATTATTGTAAATTTGTATTTTAAAAACCCAGTATCTTTTTCGTAAATATGCAAGGGCTTCTCCGACAATTTCTCTTTTTGTAAAGCCACCTCTCACTAAAACATGTTAAATAAAACTCCTATATGTAAAATGAATTCTTGGCATCTGGGAGTTTAAAATCTCCCCCAAATTCAGAGGGGGAAAAAAGCTGTATAATTATAGTTCATCTGAGTGCAAGTCATAATCAAAAAATGTTTAAAACCAAAAAGTAATATCTTAGAATGGCATTTAAAACCAAAAAAGTACTTACTGGCATTTTAAAATTTCTCATGCAATTTGTTATTCGTAAAATCAGAAGAAAGGGTGTGCTACCATTCCTGATAAGGCAAGCAATATTCAAGATTGTCAAGTAACTAAAAAAAACTGGCCACCACTATGTGAAAAACCAAATGCTTTAATGAGGCTATCAAGAACAACAGTTCAATTATTTCATCAGATACATTAATATCGATCCATAATATACAGTGCTATGGACCATACAGAAATTATTGCTGCATCCAACAGCAGGTGACTATATTATTAACATTACAGTACCAAGCGTCCGCAAGAGACAGTCATTTGTCATTTTTTCAAGACATAGGGTTTTTTTAATATACTGTTATCAACACCAACTTTTCCCCAGTGCATTTTTTAAAAATATTAATAAGTGCATTCCTTTGTGCTTTATTTTATATCTCTTAACTTCCTATGTATTTTATTTGTTCTTATTGCTTTATTATTTAAAAAACAACCAGAAAGAACTTTGTCATCCTATGTATGACCAGGTTGGTTGTAGGGTTTTTGGCAAAGTCAAAAGGTTTGGTGTTTCCGTTGCCTTACCCAGAGGCAGGTGGGCAAGTTTGGCATTTTGGTCCCTCCACATGGAGGCCCAACCCCGAGGCACCAGTCTGCTCTCGGGGATGGGGGGAGTGGTGTGGATCATTCTCTCGTCACAAACGGCGACCCCAAACCACCGCTTCTTGGCTTAACTAGTCCCTACAACAAATCCACACTCGATTTGGCAAAAAAGAAAGAAATAAAACCACCCCCGAGGCTGCAGCATTCTCCTGGGCTTACTCACCCGCCAATCCCAGAAATTGTCTCTTAAGAAGAGGGGGATGGGGAAGCAGGCAACAGTGAGCTCAGGAGTTGCGAAAGTCAGGACAGTGGTACAAGATGCCATGCTTCCTCTCAACAGAGCTTTCTATGAGGTCACTTGGCCCTGGTCACCTTCCCTGGGCCAGGGGCTACGCAACCTTGCACCATTTTTTAAGAACCCTCAAAATCAGCTAAAGAAAAGAAGCATCATACCATCGCGATCTTTGACTTCTTCGCCCAGCTCCCCTCCCCCCATAGAGATATGAAGAGAAAACCAGACAATGCTATGATTGTATCAATGAACACTATGGTACAGTTAGCTGTTCATGCAAATCTGCATCACTATTCTAGGAAAAGAGCTATACAATTAAGGGGACTGAAAGAATGGGAATTAATTTTCCCTACCCCCTTAAGTAATAAAGCTATAAAACTGATAGCATCATCAATGTCTCCAAGGATTCTCGTTGCCCGACGTGCATGGGAACTATGCAGTCGATTATTTTCATGGAAGCCATCCATTCAAACACCTGACAATCACACCTTCGCTTTGAACCATCCAATACCCATCCACCCATTCAGATTTGATATTTAAACTCGTTTTCTTTAAAAAAAAAAAAAAAAAAACAACCTCCTGAATAAGGTTTCCTGATGAAAGAAGTTGGCACTCTGTCACTAAAATATATTTAATATTAAAAATATCTGAAGGAAAATTGGAAGCTCTTATATTGTCTACATAGGCACCATGCTCCATGATCCTCTTGACTATAGATACCATCTTGAAACTGTCTCCTATATTACAGTTCAGTCAGTGCTAGTCCAAAAAAGACTACTGCTATATTTAAGGCACTTCATTCTGAATGGATATGCTTTATGCCCCTTGCTATTCAATTGTAGGCTGCTACTGAGAAATTCCATTCAACAGCCTGGCTCTTAACACCGTATGTCAGCTGTATAAAACACGTAGGCCAGATAGATTACATGTAACACTATACTATTATTGCATAGGACTACACAAGATAATGCACTGAGACTAACTTACAACGTCGCTGCTTGTTAAAACACTGTTATCAAGTAACAGTAATTTGCCAACACAGTATTTCGCTCCTTCAAGAAAATTCAGCAAGTTTGCTGAAATGAACCCCAATTTAAGTGACTACAATGGGCATATTAACGCTATGGTTATCAGTCTCCAAGAATATTGCTACTTTTATATCACTAAAAATAAATATGCAAGTTTATTCTCTCTAGAAAGCTGGTTTTCACCTATTAATACTACACCTTAAATGTGTGGAAAAAACAGTTCTGAGTGAGACTGTCACATACAAAATATTCGCAAAGCTCTCTTGAAACACAAGACCTTGCATAAAAGTTTTCTTTCACGTGTGTACAAAGAATGCGGAAAACCACGAGTGAGTTGTAAAAATATTGAAACCTTGCCATTTTAAGATGCATACTCTTACAAATTAATACAAACATATGGAAAAGAACGATGATAATAAAGAATCTGTACAAATCAAATGAACAGGAAAACATAATTTAAAAATAAAAATAGGAAAGCTGATTAGAAATGTGCCCAGTTTGGTTTTCTTATCAAAAGTGAAATTGAAGGGGGTGGGGGGAGAAACAAATAGGACAACTTTCAGGGCTCCTCAATATGTTCCTTTGAGAGGACATGCATTTCCTTTTCAAAATAAAATACAGGTTAGGGAAAACAGAATCACACTCATGGATGAGGGTAACTGTAATCAGAGCAGAGAGTGAAGGACAGCAAGATGAGACCCATGTTTCAGATCCTTGGTCTCTAACCCTTCAATTTCACTTGCACCTAAGTATGGCAGAGCAGTTACATTTTCTAACCAGACAATCCTCACAAAATTGGTTGCACTTTTTTTTTCTTTTACAGAATATTGTATTGCCTTAAATAGTTCGCAGCAGAAAGACTAAATGGCGTTAGAACGGTACTGGATCTTTAAGGCAGTACCAATGAATCAATACATTTACAAATTAAAAAAAGGGTCAGTGTGGATTTCTTTTCTTCTTCTCTTTCCTCAATCTCTTTCTCTCTGGGTTTCTTTTATTTGGTTGGTTTACATTCTTTCGATTAAACTTGACATTTAATTTCCAAAGATGTCACAGGCATAAAAATCTCAAACCAAGTCTCCCCTGGATAAAAATGGACAGAAATTTCTCTGATGCAAAAAATCCTCTTGCTCAGAAAGCTAGAGTCCGGGGTGAATTCAGTTCACAGATACTGCACACTTATCGTACAATACTTTGGAGGCATTTGTAGTTGTAAAATAGAATATACAAGTCCGTTTCACAAAATTCTAAAAATAAAATATATCCTGGGCTATTGATAAAGCATGAAAAAAAATTTTTTCATATTAAAGGAAAATTATCAAGAAAACCCCTTCAGGTAAATTATGAAACCTACGAATCAAGAAAGGAAGCAGTTTGGGACAGCGCAGAGCAGGGAGGGCCTGCTAACAAGCATGCTCGGTTTCTTCCATGCTCATGCTGCTCCTTCGGCTGCTGGCTTTGGAGGCTCCGGGAGACACCGACGAAAGGAGTGGGTCAGTTACGCCAACGGGAGAAAGAGTGTCATCCATCAGGATGTCTTCCAGTTTGGATCCCATTTTTGTGGGGACGCTATAGGCCTGGTTGCTTTCGGTCCCGGCTCCAAGGTTGTTGTTGAAGGTGATGGTGCCATCTGTGAGATCGAGTGTCGTCGTACAAGGGAGGTCTGCGTGGTGCTGAAGGAGGTCTTGGCTGCAGTTCTCAAGAGCGGGTTCTTGCTTGATGATCCGATTCACCAAATCTGGAGAGCAGAGGCCCGTGGATGGGATGAGCGAAAGTCCATGAGCTCGAGCCTGCATTTCAAGTTCCTAAAATAAAAGCAAACAATCAGATGCTTAAAAAGGGGGAGTACAAAGGATTTTAGGCAGTGAAAGCACTGTATAGGATACTATAATGAGGCATACAGGTCATTCTGCATTTGCTCCAACTCAAAGGATGTACAACACTGACAGTGAACATTAGTGTAAAGGGGGACTTTGGGGGGCAGCATTGTGCAGTATAGGTCCATCAGTGACAGTGAATGTACCACTCTGACAGGGGATGGTGACAGCTCCAGAGGCTGTACATGTGGGATAGCAAGAAGTACATGGGGAATCTCTTTGCCTTCTCAATTTTCCTGTGCACCTAAAACTTCTCTAGGGGCACCTGGGTGGCTCAGTCGGTTGGGTGTCCGACTTCAGCTCAGGTCATGACCACACAGCTCATGAGTTCAAGCCCCACGTCGGGCTCTGTGCTGACAGCTCAGAGCCTGGAGCCTGCTTCGGATTCTATGTCTTCCTCTCTCTTTCTACCCTCCTCCACTCATGCTCTGTCTCTCTCTGTCTCAAAAATAAATAAACATTAAAAATATTTTTTAAAATATAAATAAAACTTCTCTAAAAAGTAAAGTATTAAAAAAGAATCAGACATTTAGAGGGAAAAAAAAAACCAATACATTATGAAAACAATTATTTTGTTCTTTTAAATTAATAAATGCTGGGGTGCCTGGGTGGCTTAGTCGGTTAAGCATCCGACTTCAGCTCAGGTCATGATCTCATGGTTCGTGGGTTGGAGCCCCATGTTGGGCTCTGTGCTGACAGCTCAGAGCTTGGAGCCTGCTTTGGATTCTATGTCTCCCTCTCTCTCTGCCCCTCCCCCGGTCACTCTATGTCTCTCAAAACTGAATAAATGTCAAAAAACATTAAATTAATAAATACTATTTCTTAAGAGTATAGGAACCACGGATCATATAAGGACATGATTTTTAGGTGGTATATGCATTTCATTATCTATTAATGATAGAGAGACTGAGATATCAATATTCATGAAGATAAATTTTTAAAAACATGAAAATAAAAATAAACATGAAAATAAAATTTCAAAATGTGAGATTAAAGGAAAACATTTGGTAAATAATATAGTTCTTGGGGCACCTGGGTGGCGCAGTCGGTTAAGCGTCCGACTTCAGCCAGGTCACGATCTCGCGGCCCGTGGGTTCGAGCCCCGCATCAGGCTCTGGGCTGATGGCTCAGAGCCTGGAGCCTGTTTCCGATTCTGTGTCTCCCTCTCTCTCTCTGCCCCTCCCCCGTTCATGCTCTGTCTCTCTCTGTCCCAAAAATAAATAAACGTTGAAAAAAAAATTAAAAAAAAAAAAAATAATAATATAGTTCTGGGGTCCCTCCACTGTGCACACACACACAGGACACTGACACATTTTTAAATACCCAGGGAGGGGCGCCTGTGTGGCTCAGTCAGTTAAGTGTCTGACTTTGGCTAAGGACATGATCTTGTGGTCTGTGAGTTCGAGCCCTGCATCGGGCTCTGTGCTGACAGCTCAGAGCCTGAAGCCTGCTTCTGATTCTCTGTGTGTCTCTCTCTCTGTCCCTCCCTTACTCTCTATCTCTCTCTCTCTCAAAAATAAATAAACATTAAAAACATTTTTTTTTAATACCCAGGGAAATAGTGCACTACTCTGAGAACTACCAAATTCAAGACAGTTCACAGTTTCAGCATTAGGTGGCGCTACACCCTTTTCCATCACATCATAATCCCTGCAAAGCCAAGTCTTCGACAGTTGCTGCGATAAAACAAAAAAAGAATTGCATGAAAATCAAGGAGTGAGACATGAGGGTGGCACTGTCCAATCGGATTCCAAGACCGAAGAAGCTGTGTGGTGGCCAATAGACACATGTATCCCATTAGTAGGTAATGTGGTTATTTAAAAATAAAATAAAAATGCTAGTGTTTTGCTTTCAGTTTATAGGTTTTATAATTTCCAATGGCTGCTAAGTTGGTAGGACCTAAATATTCAATGAGCTGTTTGGACCTAACAAAGAAATGGTCCATATTTCTTTGGTCTAGGACGCAGTGAAAAATTACCAAGGTACTAAGGGTACCATGAGCTGATAAAGTCTGGGTAGTAGTGACAAAAGTTCTACACAAGTAACTTAGGTTTGAGAAACATCACTTAATTCATCTTACCAAGGCCAAGGGAAGTTTTCGCTTGTTTTTTGTTTTTTTTGTTTTTTTTGTTTTTTTTTTTTTTGCTGTTGTTCGTTTGTTTGTTTTTATCCCAAAAGAAAGTTCTTATAGGGAAGGTGAATAATCTCTTTCTACACTTTCTTCACATCCTTCCCATTATGGGGTGAGCTGAAAAACTCATAGGTTCAAGTGCTAACCCCAACCCCTCAGAATGTGACTTGGAGATACTGTTTTTGTTTTAATGTTTATTTATTTTTCAGAGAGTGAGAGAGAGAAAGAGAGAAGAGCAGGGGAGGGGAAGAGAGAGAGGGAGACAGAGGATCCAAAGTAGCTCCACACGGTCAGCACAGAGCCCAATGTTGGGCTTGAACCCATGAACTGTGAGATCATGACCTGACCTGAAGTCGGATGCTTAACCGAGTGAGCCACCCAGGTGACCCTGGAGATGCTTTTTTTAAAGAGGTAATTAAATTAAATGAGGTCCTGTGGGTGGGTTCTAGTCCAACATCCAAAAGGACCAATGTCCTCCTAAGAAGAAGAGATTCGGACACAGAGACATACCCAGGGAAAACACAAGGAAAAGGCAGCCTCTAAGAGAAGTACAGAAAAACCACCTCTGCCCACATTCTGACCTTGGCTTTCTAGCCTCCAGAACCCTGAGAGGCTATGTTTCTTTGTGGTGTTTAAGCGGCCCTGCCTGTGGTATTTGTTATGGCAGCCTGAGCAGACTGACGCACTTCCTAAGTGTCACAGCCTCGCCTCCCCTGGTTCCTTACCTCAAAGTGCCTTCCAAGCAAGCTCTTTCCATTCTTAGTGACTTTCCCTGGACCCTCTTAGGATGAACCCAACTGACTCTCGATGAGCATTCTACTTCTACATGCCGAGGCGATCCTTTCTAAGCTTGCCGTGTACCCGAACGTGATACTGACAGAAAATAAATCTGAAGCAAGTCACCTTGCCTCATGAAGGAGGGAAGAGTAGCCTCCAACGTGGCCCGGCCATCCAATCTCTGCCCACGAGCCTCGAAACACATGTTCCTGAAAAGTCACGTTCAGTCTGTAGTCAAGATCATTCAATTTGCAAGATCGTTCTCTGGATGCATGACAAATAAGAGATGGGAGCCTGAGATGTCACCCAAGTATGTGCATGTTCCTGTGCACAATCTCCAGAAACACAGGTCTCTCCAGGCATCATTTTAAAGCCTTGGGCTCTTTAATAAAATTACAGTTCCAATGATACAAAGGCTTCAAGCTCTTTCTTCTGTGAAAATTTCTGCATGCATCACTTAGAGTAAAAATGAAAGGAAGCCCTTAGGCCCAAGCTGAAAACAAGCACTATTGTAAATCTACACCAACATGCTAATAAGAACAGCTCCCCACACATGAAGATCATCTTTAAAAAAAAAAAAAAAACAAAAAAAAACAGCTGGATTAAAAGAGGCAAACATCTTACTCTGATCTTTTGTTGTTTAATTAAAAATGTTTATCAGCTGATTAAAGCGTTACTTAGATTTCTAAATAATGTGATAAATCTCATCTGGAGACCTCAGGCTCACTGCATGCCGGTGCTTTCCTAATTAATAACGTTTTCCGTGATAGGCAAAAGCTCGAAAGGCTGCCTCACAGGGTCACTGGAAGAAACCCAAGACATCATCACTGTGGAATTTCCAATCCACACATTTCACAATATTCCATTCCACATGAAGAGACATGTTGGGAAGCTTAAAACAAAACCTAGCCTCTCTTTCAAAACAGTTCCTGTGTTTTAACATTTCTAGAAGGAAATAACACATTAGGAGGAGCTGTTTTTATAAATGGGAATGTTAAGTTCAAGAGAAAAAGACGTATGGCTACAAACTGAAGAGATCGAACATGAAGCAAACAAAAACCAAAAGAAAAGATCATAAAAAAAGGTATCTTCAAATGACAAGCAATCTCTACTGCACTACGGACATTCTAAAATGCACCCCCTAGAGGAGAATCGTCTTCTGCCACCCCGACCCAGGGCTGAAATGAAAGAAGTGACATTCATGGAAATGTCAACAGTGCTGTGGGGTATTCAAAAGCTCGGAGACTATTACTATAAATGAATTACTCTGTTAAAGCGTTTCAGTGTCCAGGATTAACACCACCAGCTGAAACACAACGCTGTCTGAAGGGTCAGGCTGTGCTTTGGTGTTCCACAAACAGTTGCACTGGGCACCTGAAAAAATGGTAAAAGGCGGGTCCATCTACTCAAGAAGAATGTGTTCTGTTAATTGCTTCTTACTGGTGGCCTGCACGCAGAGTCAGCAGGTAAATGAGAATCACTCCTGCAAACTCCTTTGGTCATTGGCAGAGCCCGTTGTTCTTTCTCTTCTTCAAGACAGTTTCAGAGGAAGCTATGTTTACACTCAGCATGAGAGACCAAGGGCCTAAGAGAAGTACTAAGAGCTGATACTACAGAAATACTGTCCCATCTCACACTTCACACTTGTACACACAATCAATACACAGAATGACAGATGAATTCCACTCTTCATTAAAATTAGTATTTCTCCCTCTAAGAACGAATAGTGTAAGTTACAGACACATATAGTATAACTTCACTATCTGTAACTATTTCTAAAATTTGTATCTTGAGGATAAGATCTTCTGGATGTCCTCAAGTTCCCTACAAACATGGGCTTTGACCATAGGCTACATAACTCCACCAAATCCTAAGGCATCTTGGCATTCAACAACTATGCTCAGTTCTCATTATTTGAGGTAACTATTGCGATAGACTGAATGCATCCCTCCCCTCCCGAAAACTCATTTGTTGAAATCTAATCCCTAATGTGATATGTCTGGAGGTAGGGCTTTGGACTATGATTAGGTCATGAGGGTGGAGTCCTCATGAATGGGATTTGTGCCCTTATAAAAGAGACACCAGAGAGTTCCCTCCCTCCACTGCCATGTTAGCACCCAGTGAGACTACAGACTACAGCGGCCTATGAAACAGAAAGTGGGCTGTCATCAGACACCGAATCTACCTGCACCTTGATCTTGGACTCTGAGTCTCCAGAATTCTGAGAAATAACCTTTGTTGTGAAAGTCACCCAGTCTGTAGTATTTTTGTTACAGCAGCCCAAACAGACTAAGACAGTCACGTTCTATGAAGTCACTCTGAACCCTGATTTAGTAGATACCAAATGATTATTCCCAGAGGAAATATGGGGTTAGGTTTCTGTGAGTGTCCAGCCACAACATTTTCATCAACTGATCCATAATGCAACCTTATTTTAGGTTTAAAGAGACCTTATTTAATAAATAACATTGATGCATTAACATCAAACTCACAGCCAACAGTGCTGCAAGTCACATATGAAGGAAACTTATCTCCATAAGACACAGCACGGCCTTCTCGTGCTTTGGACACCAGACAACTTCAGCACTACACTTGGGGGCCGTTTTAAGCAGCAAAATTCACCCATGAAACCCACAAAAATGTGAAAAAAGCATGGGACTAAGGCCCACAAAAAGGATGCTTGTTTATAGTGTGAGCTGAAAGAAGACAGCAGGTCAATGCCTTGTTCAACCTTAACTCAAATCTGCCCCTCTGAGCATATCCACCAGTAACCATGAAGGCACCCCAAACGTGGATCTTGGAGTTACAGCAAATTTTTAACGAGTAGGCAAATTCGCAAATTGGGAATCCACGAATAACGACTACCTACTGTACGAGGATCGTGTACGTCAAGTCCCCCATGGCTTGTTAGACAGCCTCCCCCTCCCAACCTCCAAGTCGGTGGCACCTCGGACGTGCCCGTACCTGTATCCTGAGCAACAGGTGCCGGTTGGCATGCTCCAGTTTCTTCTGTCGGGTTTCAAGTTCCTTTGCACGTTGCTGTTCTCGTTGCAACTTTCGAATATAGTCCACAGAGGCTTTCAAAATGGTTCCCTTGTTCCAGCGCATGTCTCTGTAACCAAGACAGAAGAGAGCAGCCTTTCTCAGGGCTGGAGACACACTGAGGATCCATGATGCAGTGCACTCCATCTCTAAAGGCCTGGTAACAACGGCAAGCTGATGACAGCTGTCATTCATCAAGTGCTTGCCATGTGCCAGATGCTGTCCACCCACTTCTTATACATGATCTTAACCCAAACAAGTGCCTTGAATGGGAGGGACGTTGTGCACGTGTTGAAACAAGACACTCTTCACCTTGCCCTTGGTCACAGAATTACTATAGGGTATAGCCAGGACTTAGATTTAGGTCTGTTGATTACAATAATCAGTATTCTTAAAAACTATATTAAATAGTTAAAGGTTTCTAGGACTACCAATGTTAACTCATTCAGACAGACAGAATAAGCTACAGTTAAAAAAAAAATTCCATGAGATCCTACTACTTGACTGTGTGAAGCATAAAAGATGTATCCTTGGATTTTCTCATGAATATTCATAGGCAAGTTATCTAACCTCTCTCTGTGTCCCAGTTTCTTCATCTATAAAATGGTGATACTACACGTGTATGAGCAGCCTCACAGGTATGTTACTAGAATATAAGGAAGCTTGTTACCTGAAGGTGCTATGAAAAGTTTAGAATACAATTCAAATGATGGAGCAGGCATTGTGGTAAGGGCTCAACATGAGAATTATCATGGCTACCTTTAAATACCTTTTACTATGGGGGTACATTTTAAGGTGTTTTACAGCTCATTTCATCGTAACTACCTCAATGGCTAGGCACTGATATTATTCCCATTTTATGGATTGGGTAAAAAAGGCACAGAGAGGTAAAGGGCCCAAGGTCACACAGCTAGGTCACACAGTAGAGCCAGAAAGCCTAGAGAATCTGGCTCCAGACTTCCATGCACTAAACCACAATAGCGTTCTTCTTACGTGGCTGAGGTCTTAGAACAAGCAGACTAGGTAGGAATATT